CGGTTGGGTCTGAGGGAAGAACGGCTCGTTGTCTGAAAAATAAAAGCAACGCTGTTGTCTGAAAAATAAAAGCTCCTTGCCGTCTTCAAACTGCTGCTTTATTTAGTGCCTGCTGCAGCCTCCTGTCTCGTTGCAAGCCGTCCTGTTTGTTCTCCCTGTAGGTGGAGAGAAACAGTGAAAACTCTGTTTTTTTAAACTGCACAAGAGCTGTATTTCCACGCTGTAGCTGTGTTTGACTGCCTGCGTCTCCCCACTGTTACTCCAGTCTGTCATCCCATAGCGAGTGCTTTATGTCATGACTATTCAGTTGTTAAGCATAAGAAATCTTCACTTGGTGCCTGATCGTGCTGGCTCCCACAGAAAATCCCGAGTCTTCGTGTTCTGCTCTAAGTCTCTGAGTCCCAGCTCTCTTAAAGGCAGGCAGATGTTTTTCTTGTGTTGTATTTGCTTATGCTACTGAGCAGTTGATTATCATTTGTTCTAAGAGTCCAGCGCCACGCTATGGCAGCACGGATTGATTTTTCAGTGGGCACATGGTGGCAGGAAAGAGAAACAGTTTCCAGAACATTACCTGGTAGATGTTGGGAAAGTGATTACCCTTTCCTTCCACGCATCTGATGATTCGAATCTAGGCAGAAGCAATTCTTCAGCTGCAACTGAGAGTTCCAAAGCTGGTAAAGTTTGGGACAGCGATATTTAATTGTAGCTTTTGTCTTATCACGCATACCTCCAGCTCCCAAATGCACGCTTGTAAATTCTGCTTTGGCTGTGTGGGGCTTGGGAAAAGGGATACATAACTGTGCTTCTGAGGAACTGTGTTCAGTCTTGCTAATGCTACTGTCAACTAAGTTGAATACATAAACAGGGACTGTCGCCTATCTTTCATGCAGAGAAAAAAAAAATCACATTGCTGCATAAGCCTGTGGTATTTGATGGCTTATTTGTGACGTTATTAGTAAAAAAAAGAATAACTGGAGGAGCCATGAAAACTATAAATGAGTAGTATTTTTGAAGACATAGTCAAGAAGAGACGATGTGCATCATGAACACCAAGTGCAGAAATCGGGCATGTGCAGACTGACATAGGAAAACCTGGAAAAGGGGTTTTCCTGATTTAGCACATGTTAATTTCATTCAGTCTCTTTTATGAATATTTGAGTTGTGCACACATTGTTTCACAAACTATTATGGTGCAGAGCAAACTGAGAAGTGAAGGGGGGGTGTTCATGTCATGTAAGGTGAACGAATGCAACTAAGAATCAGATGACTGGGGTATAATTCTGCAGTTTGCTAACTGGAAAGGTCTCTTGCCTTGACATGCTGCATTTCTCTTCCTCTAGTTTGCAAGTCATGTGCTCTCCGACGATTTTCCATCCAGCCTGCCCAGCAAAAGAAGATTCCAAACCGGTATTTGGGCCAGCCCAGCCCCTTCACACACCCACACCTTCTCAAACCAGGTTAGGTTCAGGTCCTGCATGCGCCAATCATTGACATTCTCTTTTGCCTCTATTTTCCTGAGATGTTTAGGACAGAGTATTGATTTGCTACATCGTACAGGTGTCCATGATTTCAGCTGTTCCTGATTAATTTCATTAGGCAATACTTATATTTAGTAGTTAATTTCCTTGTCTGAGATTAACTGATTCCAAAAATAGGAAGCTTTTTACCTTTTTCTCATGGAGTGCTTGGTGTCACTGACTTTGGTACTACAGACCTTTGGTGGCAGTGGCATCTTGGGAGCTCATCATCCTGCAGATACAGTATAATTTTTGTTAAGGGGGAGTCCTTTGTGCAAGCTGAATTGCTGGAATGCGTCATATCTAATATCTTGTGGGTAACAAAAGCGTCAGAAAATGAGACTAGAGAGAGACTGAGAGCTGGACACCACATGCCTAAAGAACATGCTCCCTTCAGAAGAATATTCAAGCTTTGGGGAAAAGGAAAAAAAGATAGATTTGTGGCTATAAAGTTAAAGGGTAGTAAAGAAAGATATGCAGTTTTATGAGGTTAATGAAAATGAGTATGTAGGTATGAAATGACTATGGTTAAATCTCAAAAAACTTTGAAGTCAAAATATGTGCGGAAATATGTCCAGTAAAATATTCTGGTATACAGAGAGAACAGATGAATATATAATCGTGCACTTACATATTTAGAATAATTCAGGTCAGAAGAGACCTCAGGAATTTATTAGGCCAACCCTCTGCTCAAAGCTGAATTAACTTCAATATTAGATCAGATTGCACAAGGCACTGATTAACAGCTCACAGAAGATGAGGCTGACACTTTAAAAGTACTCACAGCTGAAACACTGGAGATTAATTCTAGCAGACCATAGTAATTATCCATTTAAAATAAAACATTGTTTTATTGCAGTTATTGTTTTAAAAAGCAAATGCCTTTAGGGCAAAGAGAATTTTCAGGCCTTGCAGTCAAAAGACCAATGAGATTCCAAAGTTCCACCCTCCTGCAGCTTCTAAACTTCACTGGACTGTTTGTGGTCGTTAGAAAGCTGACTGGAATGCAGCAGAGCATAGGAAATTTGCAGTATAATATTGCAGAAATGTGATGTCAGATTGCAGTAAACCCCTTTCTGTATTCTCTGTCATCTCTACATCTACAGAGCAAAATAAATTAGTTGGTTTTGTTTTTTTCTTTTAAAAAATACTTTTACACCAAATAGGTGTTGGAGATGTATGGTGTTGAAAATGTGTAAAGTTCAATGCAAATACAACATACGGGATTTTCTTGAACTCCCTTTTGTCATGGAAAAACATTCTGGATAGAACTTCCCCCTCTCATTTCACCCGTGAAAGAATCCACTTATATTACAAGTCAAATTTCAATTTTTCTTCTAGAATCCTCTAAGGTCCCTTCCAGCCTAGGCCATTCTATGATTCATCACTGTGTAATGTATTAAAGAGGAAGAAAAGATTATGAAATTAGGAAATTAACAGTATGAAAACGCAGTCTGTATTAAATAGAGTACTAGCCAAAGTACTGATTAAGGCTTATGTATGAATTTAAATAATATTGAAGGAGTCTCACATTTTTAAAAATACGTACTTCATCGTTGGTGGTTGTTCTTTCAACTTCAGTCTGGTTTTGGCGAGTATCTTGATCGCTGTACTTCATATCCTTCGTGACTGGAGCAATTTAAAATGTTAAAATTTGTTTAGTTAGCACCATTAGGAGTATAGCACTTAACTTTGGAAAAATCTGAATTGTTAATTATTGAGAAAACGTACATCTGCCCTGGAGAAGATTCCTTCTCTTAACTGGAGTCTGACGCCAGCCTGCAGTTCATGGTTTCTTTCTGCCTGGAATCTTGTGACTGGTTAGACTCTGCAACCTCTGTGTTTCTGCCTGATCTCCCAGTACCTGTAACAATCAGTCTGCCCTTTTGGTTTAGGACTAGTTACTTTATGAGTTGACTTAGTGTGTTTTTGAATAGACATTCTAGCTTTATCTGAGGAAACGAATGCTTAGCCTCAGGAGGTAATCTTCTGTTCAATGTCCAGATGCTATAAAACCCATCAGTTTTCAGCAGTCAAAGTCCAGTTTGCCTTGCCCCTTCCCCTTTTTTCACATCTTCCTGAAAACATCCATCTGTTTTGGATGTTTCCCTAAATCTACCACGTTTTGTGATAACCTGCTTTTGCACACAAATACTTGAACAGAAAATCCAGTTTGTTGAATTTCTGTCTTTGCATTGTGAAAAAGCAGACTGAATGAGGATGAGCTGTAGGAGTGGAAGCTGAAGAGGTGGCGTGAGAGAGCAATGAGAAGGCTGGTGAGGGACCACGACGAAGCCGTGCACAGGAAGCGCGTCAGGGCGCAGGCAGGCACGTGGCTGTTAAAATACCGCGAGGGCCTTGAGTTTCTCAATCCGATTTGTTCTGTATTTGTAGGAGAGGTAACTCCAGGATTGTCACAGGTGGAGTATGCTCTTCGCCGACACAAACTGATGACATTGATCCAGAAAGAAAGCCGTGACTGGGATGGATTGGACCACACAGTGATTCTGTTATCCAACCCCACGTACTACATGAGCAATGACATCCCCTACGTTTTCCACCAGGACACTAACTTCCTGTACCTCTGTGGGTTCCAGGAGCCTGACAGCATCCTGGTGCTGCAGAGCATTCCTGGTAAAGCACTGCCCTCCCACAAATCCATACTTTTTGTGCCCCGGAGAGATCCAAGCCGAGAGCTGTGGGACGGGCCCAGATCAGGCACGGATGGGGCAATTGCTCTCACAGGAGTAGATGAAGCTTACACCGTCGAGGAGTTCAGGCACTTGGTGGCCAAGCTGAAAGGTAACAAAGAAATGGAAGGGGGTGTGAGATGAGATGTGGTTTGCAGAGTCTGAATGGTATGGGCTTGGAAGGTCGTCTGTGACACTGGTTCAAGAATATCATAGATTTGGGGAGGCACGGGGGGTGTGACAGTATGACAAGACAGTTGGAAGTTCTTGTTAGTTTCTTGAGGGTCCCCAATGGAAAAGTAGTTTTGAAAATAATAATTTCTCCTCCCCCCTGAGTTTCATGGGAATGCCAGTGTGCACACCTGTGAAATGCAACGAACAGGATAAGCAGGAGAGCATCACAAACAGTTACTGTTTTGGTTGTGTCTTTTTGCTGACAGAGCCAGAACCTGGTGATGTATAGGAAACTTGAAGGTATTTTATTTATAATAGGCTTGGAAAATGATCCACAGGGAGGTTGTTAGCCTGCTCACCTTTTTTAGCTAGATGTTGGCTTACTCTTGAAATACAAATATTGCAGTACTTCAGACATGTTCTTCTGCATCTAACGTCACCATGTAGCCTTAATACTTATAATCCAGCGTGAACTTAAATGCATTATAAAATGAAGTTGAAGGCTTAAGACAATATAAAAAGATCAAGTATTTGAGGGATTATACAAATGAATAAAGTGAGTTCTAGTGTCTTAAATACCATCTTGGATTCTGGTTATTTTGTTTCCAAAAAAGATAAGTAGAAAAGTCACAGAAAGGGCAACAAGAATGATCAAAAGCATGGAGTGTGTGTGAGGTACATGAGGGACAAACCTGGTCAGTTGAAAAAGAGTAAAAAGAAGGTAAGGTATGAGAGATGTATATGGTTGTGGAAAGTGTGGAGAGGATGAGTAGAAATGATTAGTTGCTATTTTTCATAATTCACAAAGGGAACACTGCATGAAGTGATTGCCTGGCAGGTTTTGACATTTTCTAAGTTTCGAGTTGTAGATCATTCGTGGAAGGTTTCGAATTTCAAAAGTATAAGTGGATTCAGAAGTTTTTAATTCTATGGGGGAGAGGTCTGTGAGAAACATTTCTTCACCATTATGAAGATGCAGTCTTGAAAAAACCAGAAGTGGGGAGGATGTGCTGTTCATAAATGCCCAGTTTCTTTGAGACTTTGTAAGCACCTGCTAATATCTACTGTCCCAAAGAAGGAGGAGCCTGGGTAGAACTTAGCTGTGACTCAGCATGGCTTTTCTACTCGTTCCCATTTAAAATACCTCTGTGGTGAGAATGTAAGTGCTAACTCAGATGTTCTAAATGAGATTTCCACGTAGGTAAATATGTTTGTCCTCAGTAAGTTAATCTTCCTTGAATGGCTGAAATAAGCAGTTGTTTCCCAAAGATACTCTGAAGCATAGTTGGTAACAACTCTGATTCCATGTGATGGGTGAGAGGTGAATTGCCCTACAGCATCGGGGCGAGGGGCAGCCTAAATGCGAGAACATGCACCACTGCAGTGCAATGGGTGCTTAGCTTACACAAGTTCAACTTGGATACGCAAACTCTGAATGGATCTGTGCAAAACACATGTATTCAGTGGTGACTGTAAAACCCAGTACTTGCGTCAAAGTGGGGAGTTGTCAAATCTACGTGCTATGAATAGGTAATCGTCTAGATTTTGAAGAGATTGCTAGTACCCTGCAACAGAGAAAGTGCCTACATGGTCTGTAAATGCAGATTCAGAGGAAATTAATTTCTCAAATATAGCAACAGGTCTAATTCAGGAGGAGTGAGTTTGTGCATTATGAGGAGGACATTTCTATATTTATTTTTGTCAGTGTCAGCTTTTGTTTTACATTCCAGGTGAGTCAAACATTGTTTGGTATGACTTGAGAAAGCCAGTGCATACGGAGCTGCACTCTGACTACATGCAGCCCCTGGCTGAGATAAAAGCTCGGAACAGAAACCACATCCAGGGCATCCGACATCTAGTGCAAAACCTTCGGCTGATCAAATCTCCTGCAGAGATTGAAAGGATGAAGATAGCTGGAAGGGTGACAGCAGAGGTATGGGGTTGTATGCTCTCCAAATCAAAGGGTGCATTCCTTTAAAGAGGAAAGGGGCGAGGGCTGTTGATGGGGTGACATGGGTTGGAAGGATAGCTTTGATCTAACCTGTTACTGAACTGCTGTGTCTCAGCCATCTGCTGGGCTCAGCTCCTTCCACATGACAAAGAGAAATGGGAAGACTGCTTGGACTCCCAGGTTCTCTCAGTGTAACTCCAGTGAAGAAAGTCATCAGCTGTTAGATTTGTTTAAAAGCAGTATCTATTCAGGAACAGGGATAGCCACTTCACTCTCTCCCAGCTTCCCCTCCCCTTCCCCATGCCATTTCCTTTTCCATTTATCCTCCTGATTTTGAGGAAACAGGATTTTTGTGAACAGGATTTTGGTGAATTTTTGCTGTCTGTGTCTCTGTATTCCCCCTTCTCCCTCAAATACGTTTTGAACTCATTGACCAGTTTTAAACAAATCTGAGAGATGCCTCAAATGCAATTATGTTTTTGTAAATATTATTAAAATACATAGCTAAGTAGAAAAGAGCAGTGCTCTTTCTCATTTCTCTGAAGGAAAAGCTGCATAAGACACTCAGACACTCATATGTGAGAGAATCCATGGGTGAGACAATTTGTAAAGTGCCAACCCATGAGATCAGCTTCAGTCATCTTAACCCTTTTTCAAAAACTGTTGTCAGTCAGCCCCTAAATACAGTTTCATGGGAATCTGAGCTTTATTTTTTCTAGTCCTGACAGCTTGCCGCATTTTCATCTGCCTTTGGTTCCTGTGTTCTGGGCCAGCTGATTTTAGGCCTTCCTCCGTAGATATCAGGTGAGGAAAAAAACTTCTCTGAAGTTCAGGCTCCTTTGCTAACTGAAAGGCCGTTGTTTTTCATAGGCTTTCACAGAGACAATGTTTGCCAGCAGATCCCCAGTGGATGAAGCCTTTCTGTACGCAAAGGTGAGTACTGTGTGGTTGGAGGTGGCATAGAAGGGATGGATGTTGTTTGTCATTCCAGGAAGCTAGAAATGTCAGATCTCTCTATAATGTGCATCCCACTGTAGCACATTTCTCCTTCACCAGACTGTTATGCTTCATAGGACGTGTGGAAAAGTCAGTGTGAGGAATTCTTCAGCTGTACTTCCCATACCCTTTTGAAGGAATGTAGGGGGTTGTCTAAGCTGATCTATTGGTGTCTTTTCCTACTGTATTTAAATACAAAACCTGCTAAAAAAATCAGATATATAGTTGTTCTATAATACAGTTCTATTGTACAGAATGTAAGTAGTTATAATACCTATTTGTAAAGCCTGCTTGTCTTGACTCTAGCCTCTTACTACATCCGATTACCACGGCTATCTTGAAGCAATGTAGATGCATCCCAATTACAAAATAAGAAATAATTTTCCTTCACATTTGGTAAGGAATTTTGTAAGCAATTGCAATGAGATGCTTGTTTGAGAAACATGAGCAGGGTTTGACCCTCTTCTATGACATGGCACTGAGCAGCAGTACTGACTTGTAGAGAAAATTATTTTAATTAAAGTGTATTTTTCACTCCAGATCAGGATCATAAAACCTGCTTTACTTCATGTAGACATCTGGCAGTGTTCTCTAGGTAGTTATAGAAGACATGTTATTAAAATATTGAGGATATAGAGGTTCTTTACAGATGTTGGTTGGACTCGATGATCTTAAATATCTTTTCCAATCTAAACAGTTCTATGATTCTCTGTAAGTTTATTCATTTCCATGTTCTCACCAGTTTCATCATGCGAGAAAGGTAAAGATGTTAAGGGTTACAGTGCCTGTTGTTCCTTGGACATCAAGGTAGTGCATGCTTTCAAACCTTCTTAGTTCAACAGGGTCATGAAAATAGATGCTGCTTTAAATATGCTGGTACCTTGTAATTTTAAAAGACAAAACCAAAACATGACTGTTGTCATGCTAACGTTTAAGATCATTGAAAATTCACAAAGTCATGTGGCAACTAAGAGCATTATTTTATATAAGAACAAATCCTTACCTGGATTTATGACAGTGTAATGAATATTTGATACAGTATTGAACACCTTGAACCAGAAAGAGCCATGAGACCAGATGTAGGCTTAAAACCCTCTCTTGAAAAGTAGATAGTTCTGTATTTTTTTCCTCCAGTGTTCTTGGAAAACCTTCAAGGCTGCTCTCGTTTAGTGTGCTTTGTTTCAGTTTCTCTTTTTACTGTACAAATTAAGAAAACAGTTGTAGGACATGAATTATAATAGCTCTGAGGTGGTTAATCACCTGAATCGGCACTAACAGTCTCCTCTTCTCTGAATTGGTGTTCCAGTTTGAATTTGAGTGCCGGGCTCGTGGTGCTGACATCTTGGCATATCCCCCTGTTGTTGCTGGTGGCAACAGATCAAACACTTTGCACTATGTGAAGAACAATCAGCTCATCAAGGTAACCTGAGTGCTGTCCAGTAACCTAAAATGCAGTGCTGTGACACACTGTCCCCCTATGTGTCCCCTAGCTGCTCTTCTCTTTGACTGAACAGATCGCAATGCTTCAATATGTGTTTTCAAGTGAGCAGGGGAGAGGAATCCTGCCCTGCTTGGTTTTCATGCCAGCGACAGATGGACTTCGCTCCGTCTAGTCTCTACTTCTCTTTGCATTCACTGCAGTATTTTATGTACAGTGGAAGGACATGCAAACAAGCTTGCAAATAACTTGATTTAGTGAGTATGTCTGCTGCAGCCGTGTGCGGTGCCGGGCGGGTTGCTAACCTCACAGGGGAGAAGGAGCACTGCAGCAGGCAGAGTGAAGGGGCTGTGGGGAGTCTTCTGCTGTCACCCGCTGTGCTTGGCCTTGCTTGGCAACATAAGGTGCAGTAATGCATTCC